GTAGTAGTAGTAGTAGTAGTAGTAGTAGTAGTAGTAGTAGTAGTAGTAGTAGTAGTAGTAATAGTAGTAGTAGCAGTAGTAATAGTAGTAGTAGTTTATATAAATTATTATTATTCTAGAAATGTTTAGAGCGCCTAGTCCCTAAATACTATACAACAATCCCACATTGACAAATGGACGTAAATGTTCCGACGTAAAGCTTCTCTAAAGTGGATATCAAGCAGTCAAACAAACCATCTGGAATGCAGCGATCTGGAAGAGAGAACATTCAATAAATCTCATTTTAGATTTTGAATATTTATGATTTATTGCGTGGGTAGATGCAACCTTGTCACTATCAGATCTCGAACTTTGATGGCAAAAATGAGAATCATCAATTAGCATTTTCAGTTTTAGCAGCACAGCAATCAATAGTTTAGTTTTAGTAAGCGTTTTGCAGTAAAATTAGGTCATATAAGAGCAGTAGTTTTGAAGTGCTTCAAGAGAGTAACGTACACAAAAAAGAAGGAGGAGAAATAAAACCGATAAATGTTTGACAGGAAAGAAGGACGAGTAAACCATACCTGAGCACCTGCCAACCACCTACCAAGAATAAATAGATTATAGCATATCGGGATAGGCTGCATTGTCTGTTGAAGAGAGGTTGGATATGGCGCGCTGAAGCCTTCAACGTCAATACTGTGTAGACGGCATGCTACAAGAAATGTATACCACTCATATTATTGTCAAGAAGACGTGCTCTGTAAATTAGCAATAGAGTGAGATGAGCTCTGTAGTTTTAGTAACTGTTTTATGGCACTTGCAACAAAATAAGGTCATAATTTTAGTGCCGAAGATAAGAGGTGATACAAGAGAGTAACAAATACGAGACGACAGATTTTTTATAGGAAAGAAGGAGCAAACACAACCAGAGCACCCGCCAACCACCCATCTTGAGATGAGCTCTAAAAGCGACATGTAAAGAGGGGTTTGCCATGAAATGGAATCTGCTCTAGCGGCTCCATTTTGATAGAAACTTGCGTCTGTATCACATAAAAAGTTAATGTGCAAAGCAGTTGTGAAATAGAAATGGAATCGACAAAGAATGTACACCATAGAACAAAAACAAGTCATAAATTAAATGTCCTTGAAAGGCAAACAAAATAATATGTAACCTCATTGTTGTGCTCTTGAATCTTTTATGCTCTGTTTATCTCTAATCGTTACTGTTTTCTGAAGGCATTGATTCGTAAGATATAGGTTTTATTTTTCTTCAGGAAACTAGTTAAGAGTTGCAAAAGTCTAAAGGACGGGCAGAGCTAAATGGATGAAGAGCTTTGAAAACCCAGACCGCCTACGTTTAGGAATATCAACTAGATGATTAATTTGAACGAGCTTCGACTACACAGTTGTCCAGTGTGACGCCAGCAAAGCTCATCGCGAGCTATTGGTGTTGTATTCCTTTCCTCTGCATCATACTGCATGTTTCAGTTTACCAATGATCACGGCTCAACAGCTTACTCAAGAACAACCAACCAAAAATTTTAATTTTGATTCTGCGGGTTTCACTTTCTTTACCAAACCATTTTTTTCAGGGCAGATGTCTTTACGACTCAATTTAAATTAATTAAGAGGCGGACATTCTACTCTGCCTGTCAGGACTAGTATTGCCGGCATTGAGACGGATACAGCGTTTCGTTGGGAAAAACAAGATACGTCTTGCTAACAATTCTACCGATATGGGAATTGAAGCCGGATCTTACGCTTGACACACGAAGCGCATTACTGCGACACTACAGAGGCTCGTAAAAGATTCTTTCAGATAAAGTAAAATACAAATAGATAGATAGATAGATAGATAGATAGATTGATAGATAGATAGATAGATAGATAGATAGATAGATAGATAGATAGATAGATAGATGGGTTAAACAATGACGTCATAATAATGATTTTTTTTTAAATTTAGAGAGTAAAGGCGCACTTCCTACTTTTGCGGGTTTGTTTTAAATCTGTATTCTGCCACTTCGAAATGGCGTCTTCTTTAGCGGTGAGACAGAAGTTTATCAAAAACTAGATCTAGATATAGACTCTAGATCCTCTTCATAAGTGATTTTATTTGAGTATGTAGATATTGAGATGTTCGCCCGTTAAGATTCATAATATAGATCTAGATCTAGTCTAGTCTAGATCTACTCATACCGTTTCCTGTATTTTTCTTTTCGAAAACTTCACAACAATTATGTTTTAGTTTTAGTTTTGAGAATTTGTTCTAAATCTACGTGGTGGCTCTAACATTGTTTAATCTATCTACATCTAGATTTGTAGATCTAGAAATCTAGATCTATCTGTAGTCTTGCCCCATAGGCTTGTACTATGGACAGACAGACAGACAGACAGACAGACAGACAGACAGACAGACAGACAGACAGACAGACAGACACATCC